AACAAACAACTAACACACTANACTACTACACATANATATATATATATATATATATATATATATATATATATATATATATATATATATATATTCGTACTACAAACGCATACTTATATATGGCTGCTGCAATCTCAAAAAGAAATTGTTCAGTCGCGAAGAAATATTCACTATTCGACAGAGATCACTGGAAGCGATATTTTCCGACACAATAGTTTGTCAAAAATACTTTGTTTCAAAACTCTAGTAATATGGAAGAGGATGATGCACCTACGGCCTCCTGATCCACAGGACTGGTACACTCTCACACATCCGCAACTTCAAAACACTCACGTCCACTCAACAAGCCTGTCGAAGTTTTATAAAACATTGCACAGGAGAGGCTCATACTCCAAACAGCATACTCACTTGTTCTTTGGCCTCTACATTAGCATTCGTCTCTAACAACAACTGCACTACTTCGGTGTGTCCCTTTTCACAGGCAAAGTGCAGTGGTGTCGTATCATGCTGTCGTATAGAAGAAATGAAAGATAATCAGAAACTCAATCGCCTATAATGACATAGTATGCAGTACAAACACACCGCCACACAACCCAATGCATACGATGATTTTGAGAACAACAGACGGTGTGCGACCTACTGAATCAAACAGATTAATAATAGGAACCTTCACACACATTCCCACTTGTATTTGTATCGATGCTTGTTTTTGCACGTCGCAAAAATTTACACGCGGCAATGGAGAAGTGTGATATGGTATCTGCAACGAGAAACGCTCACTAGCCTGTTGACAGTATCAATTTTCCAGATATACATGCAGTCTACAAGGCATGTACATATTTGTCTACAGATGATTAAGATACGCACTAACAGAATAAGACAACCCCACACTTAGCACATCTAACCACATTTCGCGCACGATAGAACTACGAGATAAAATTTCGCTATTGTTAATAGTGTGTGCATGACGAGTATTGATTTGAAACAGAGTCATAAGCTATATGGTCCTTGTATAAGCGTTGTTTCGCCTATGTGCAAGCTTCAAACATTCTTTTGGATTACTTGATGTAAATGTACACTCAGAAAAGAAGTACACCTGGATCCATTGCACATTGCAAGCCATTAGTCCTGATTGCATAGATATTTATTGATACAATGCATAGTAACATAGAGACTGTGCATTTACTGAATATGTATCGACGACACGTCGTATTGTAGAGTACTAAGCCAAATTCGTACACAACACATCAGTCGTGACTACTAAGCATAAAGAAGAGCACAATGACCTACTGATGAGTGCACCAACAATCAATGAATGAGCGCGAGCGATGGTATGATCACGCGACGAAATCGAGAATGACACCAAAGAACCACAGCGGTTTTGAAGTTGCTGTATATTCGCGGAGATGTTCAAATGATTACGAAGGATATGTTTGAATATGGATAGAACATATCCACTATTGATTGTTACAGCGTTTGTACCTATGGATGAATCTGTCCCAACAGGCTATGTGTGTGGAAATTTTCCATGTCAATTCATACCACACAGCGCACGACGTCACGGAAATCACGGAAATCAATAAAACACTAGCACTGCATGCTGAGTACATACAGGACCATTGTTGCCTAGTTTCGTGCTCAATAACATTTGCTAATCACTTGACTTTGTTTCTCCCTGTAATCTGCACACACTCGAATCATTAATAAGCCCCATCACCTACCCAACCAACGGTATCGACTTTAATCCCTTTTGCGAGGTACCCTCGGACCTGTTTTGCATTTCCCTTTTCGCTAGCAACATGTATAGGCGCCATCAAAATAACTCTATCCGTATTGCTTATTCGATAGGCGATCTATATGCAACGGTGCTGTATTGTATTGAATGGCGTATTCGTCTACCAGTAGCAGGAGCCACTCGCCACTTGATCTTGCTTTCACACGTCTAAGGTCGGTCGCAGTGGGGCGTTCACGTCATGTCTATCGCAGTGCTTCGCTGTAAGAGAGTGAAGTGCTGCAACGGACGTGAGCAGAGTTTATAGGTGACGTCTGTGACGACTATAACTTACGACGATGCACCAGTCTGGGTTCCGACACAAAGTGACCCGCCAAAAGCCGTAGTTGCCCCTTTTGGATGTTTTTGTTTTGGCCAATTGGTCCCACAGGAATTTCCCGGCAAGTTCAACTCGGTATCAGTCAAATCACAGCCTTCTAAATGAACAAAGCTAAAAATAAACAGATAAATAATAAAAATAGTTGTTCTCCTTGACATAAAAATAGGGGATATTTAAATATGTACGTGTAGTTTGTTATATTTTAGTTATCCACTTCCCACTCAGCTAGCACACTGTGTACTATATGACTGCAACTGTCTATATTGTATTATCCTATGTACAATATCAGGCTTTAGTGTCTTTGCCAATCGGTCAGTTGAAATCAGAATCAGAGTGACTTCGGGTCTAAGTCTCAGGTGGTTGCATCCTCACGAGATGGGTGGCTCTATTGACGACTTGCAGGTCATTAGTGTATTAGATGTGGCGTATTAAATTACTAGCAGTTGCACTATATGTGAGGAGCTGCAACCGCATGGGAATTGGTCGCTCTAAACTCGAAGGAAAATTGCAGTCAGGTATGCACGGCTACACTATTCAATTTTGACGTATCGTCTTATGATAAAATTTATGCTCACTTTTCAACTCGTGTCTATTAGCGACTTTGTTGTATTCTGAGATGGAGAATTGTATTCCTTTTGTGAGATATGAGATGGAATGGGAAATCATTCACTCTATTCTCATCCCATGTGTATGTATGCAGTTCGAGGTGATATATATTAATCCAACGTGCGATATCATTCATAAGCTAGAAGCGGAAATGCAAGGATACAACCCCGCATCAAGGTGACCATGTCAATTCTGACTTTAACGGCACTGTTGTGCTCCCAGTTACCACAGAATTTTATTCTTTCGTCATTGATATTAGCGTTCAAGTATATCGACAGTCAGCAGCAATAGATGTCCCAAACATTATCCGAAAATGTGCCAAGTGGATTCTCCTAAGCATCCAGCAGAGGCTGGGTCACCGTTGCTATATATACATATGCATATATATA